AAAGTTACAGGAAATGCAGCCCAGACTACAGCGGTTACTGCCTTTTTATGATGACAAGTCAAGCTCTGAGGTCATAATGTACATGTTTTTAGAACAGGCACTCAACCAATCAGCATGGATGTTACTATTGTAGCTAAAGGTTTAGTGCTTTCCTCTCCCTGTTTTCAATCATCCGTCCCTTAGGATAATTTGTAAATTCTAAGAGTGAGAAAAAGAATAGAAGGAAATAAGAGATTTAAAGAAACATTAATTTATGAAGCCATTTCAGTTCGCATCTTTGATAATTTACATATGTTAACCTGTGTCTCTTAATTCCCTCGTTAGTTGTTAATTAAATGCCAATATACAATTTAATGGAGTATCTGGGAATGTCAAGCTAAAACGAGAAAGTCAAGTTTGTATAGGCAAAAGCTCCAGGAAAATTGGCTTAGAAACTAATACAGAGGGTGCCAAAAAATGTATACACGTTTTAAGACAGGAAACCATTGTATTAAAATTGTAATACTCGAGTCACCTTGGACTTATGCAATTACCAGAGGTGCTTACTGTGACTTATATTCATGTTTTATTATTGGCATATTGAGTATTATAATATTAATACAGTTGTTTACTTTCTTAAAATGTGTACTGTAGTTTGACATCCTCTCTATATTCCATTGCCAAGATTCAAGAGTAAGGCATGCATTAAGCCTTGCATTCCCTCCCTACAATAAGTAAAATTTTATTATGTTATTTTTAAAATAAAATTATTCTTTTAATTTAAAAAGACACTCTCCTAGTACATTTTTAAGTTTTTACTGTGTCTTTTACATTACTAAAGAATCAGTTGCACTAGCAGCTTTAATTCTCGAAGAAAAGCTTGGAGGTGGTCCTGTAATTGGTTACAGACTCCTAAGGCCCCTCCTAAAAGTCTGTGCTTCCACCGTGCCCACTGTGATACATCAGTCTCTCAAACACCACTGGCTCCGTTATGTCTTTTTGAGGTAGCAATCAGAACTGCACACCCAATTCAAGGTGTGCTGCCATAGTTTTTTGTAAAAGCAAGGAAAGAGTGAGACGTTTTCTATTCTTCTGCTGTGGCCCCATTCCCAGCCTGCTTGGCCAGCAGCGTTAGGGACAATCTGTGGTTTCGGTCCTCAGCACTGACAGCAAGCCTGTGGCTGACAGCCAACATTCCATAGGTGCAGTGTTGATACCTTACCCCTAGAGCAGCAGTTCTCAACCTGTGGGTTGTGACCCCTTTGTAACAATCAAAATACAACCTGCATATCAGATGTTTACATTACAATTCATAACAGTGGCAAAATTACAGTTATGAAGTAGCAATGCAAATAATTTTATGGTTGGGGGTCACAACATGAGGAACTGTATTAAAGAGTCACGGCATTAGGAGGCATTAGGAAGGTTGAGAACTACTGCCCTAGAGGCATCACCGTGGACTTACTCACCTTGGAACAATGTGCTCCTTTCCTGCTGATTTGCATAAGACTTCTAGGAGCTTCCTGTCATCCACCCCAATGAGCTTCCACTTCCCAGACACTGCACAGATTTCACTGACTGTTCTACATCCAACAGATCCCAACCCGTGATAATTCCTGATGAGCATGTCTCTTACATTGCTCTGTTTGGGGTGTGCCAACTTCTCCCTACTCCTTGCTTCCTTAGCGCCTCCATTCTCTATTGCAGAGTTAGTCATCTCCTCTTACTCCTGAAACTCCTGAAACTCTAGTGCCTGGGCAAGCCTGGTCTGAACTCACCCACTCTTGGTGTGCTTACCATGACTGGAATCCCTGCCTAGCCCCCAGCCCCAAATCCATCTTCATGACAAGGGTCACATTTGCAGTCTGGCACAGCAGCTTGCGTAACAAAAGATTCCAGTGGACTAATTTCACCCTTGAGTTCCTCCAAAACTCTCATTCATTTGGCGTCTTGGTGATTTATCTGGATAGATTGTGTCAGTTTGGCAGAGTAGCTCTGATACAACTGCTGTTGGATTTAATGTCATCAATCTTCCATTTCCAGGAACAATGCAGGCCTGGTGATCTCCCCACGATCTTCTGTATTAAAAGCGAAGGTCTAAAAATCCACCTGTGAGCTATCATGATTTCATCCTTTGGAGAACACTCCGTTCCAAACTCAGCTGTGGTCAATGCTCGCTCTCCTCGGAGTTCAATTGTTCTCTCTGACTCATTGTATTACTCTCAAAGCCTCATAATGTTCCTCAATTTCTTTGCATCTTGATGACTGCATTATTGCTATATTATTCCTAATATTCCATACCTTGTGGGCTTTCCTGTTCTCATTACTTGAACCATGTTACCGTTTGGGAAAAGAAGCCAGTTACTTCCTGAAGTCAACTGTTTGTTACTCCACGCACAGGAGAATGCAGGGTGCAGGAATAATTTTGAATAAGGTGGTTTTTACAAAATCTCTAAATGTATATTACAGCTACCTGCTGTAAAAATAGTGAACAACTTACAGAGTGGCCATTAAAAATTCCAAGGGTACCTGTTATAAGGATTAATACCCGTGCCTTGGTATAAGAAATTTATTGATCCCTACTTCTGTGTGAGACAAGCGCTAGGCACTAGGAACTCAACTAATTCTGAAGATGTCATCTCTGCCCAAATTCAGGCACATTGCAGACATCTAAATAAATCAAGGTCACTCGGTGTGACCGGTTACAAAAAATAGATAAAAATGAAGGGCAGAGGGATTGCCCAGCATGAGCGTGCTGGAGAAAAGCTGTTTTCAAAGCTAAGTGAATGAGGATACGGAGCAGCATCTTGACAAATGGGGGGGGGGTGAGGGGTGGGCAGACCACAGGGAAGGCCAAGGGCCAGAAGGCATGGAACAGTGTGCCTGGTGTGTGATGGCAGCAGATGAGACCAGAGGAGATTGCTGCGTAGGCCGTGGGGAAAAGTTAGGAGCTGATCTTGTGGGCAAGAGGAGGTAAGGAAGTTTTAAACAAAGATAGGGTCAGATTTGTACGTATTTGTGCAAAGCAGAGAGACTGTTTTAGAGCTTACTACAGCACTAACGCCAGAGCTGACTGAAGCAACAAGAGTGGGGATGGAAAGATGAGAATTGATTTAACATACAGTTCAGAAGTATGTTTGAGTCCCTCAAACATCTGTTCAAAGCAATAATGAATTTATATCCAGGCTCACACCTGTAATCCTCCCGTTCTGGAAGGCCGAGGCAGGTGGAGTACTTGAAGTCAGGAATTTGAGACCAGCCTGAGCAAGAGGAAGACCCTGCCTCTACTAAAAATAGAAAAATTACAGGTGGCACATGCCTGTAGTCCCAGCTACTCAGGAGGCTGAGACAACCACTTGAGCCCTGGAATTTGAGGTTGCTGTGAGCTATGAGGCCAGAGCACTCTAGCCTGGGGCAATTGAGTGAGACTGTCTGAAAAAAAAAAAGCAGTATATGAATTTAGGAAGAGCAAGAGATCCAGGGTGACCCTTGCTCCAGGATTCATTTTTGGGTAACCAGGTACATGGAGGTTCCAACAACCAAAAGAGGAAACAGAGGGAAGACTAGATTAGCATTAGGGGTAACCTGAGTATTACGAAAGAGCTCTGTAAAGATAGTAAGTCCTATTTTGAACACACTTGGTTTGGCGTGAGGTATCCAAGTGGAGATTTCCAATAAATGATTGCATAAGTCTGGTGCTCAGGCTTAGAAATATAAATGGGAGCGTCACGAGCATAAGGCTCAGTCAGTTTTGCAATCTGGCCGGCTGTATTTCAGGGATTATGCTAAGCATGACAGCCACGAAGATAAGTGACAAATGACCCCTCTCTGAAATCTGGTAAGGAACAAAACCACAATTATTTATTATCTTCTCCTTCTAAAGTATATCAGGTATATGAATTTTATTCATATAAATGATTGATTCTATACACCAAAACCTTGTCGATGTAGATTTTTACTTACCTTTCAGCCACATCATTGTTTTAAGTAACTCTTTTCATCATTATTAAGCGTGGCAACTATCAAAGAAAGGAATTAATAAGAAGATGTGCTTCCTGATTCTGAGCAGATAAGAATAAACAGTTTATTCCAGCAGGGAGATAACTTAGCTGAAACATTCTACTTCCTACAGTATGCCCTTTATATCACATTTTGGGAGGGACGGGTTTGTTATGCTTCCTGAATCAATTAAGATCTGGCAGCACATGGGTCATTCGGGGAGCAAGAGCACTATTCAGACAGGGCTCCTGCTTCCCCTCCTTTAAAATACCAGCTCTCTGTGCTCCTACATATTGGGTACGCTGTTAAGTGTATCTGGTAGACCTCTTGGGTGCAGGACACAACTACAAGGGGACTGTACCCAACAAATGCAAACATTGTAACCTAGTTGCTTGTACCCTTCCATTTACCTGAAATCTTAAAAAAATAAAATAATAATTGAGCATAAAAATAATAAATCCTCATAATACTGCACCAAAAAAGTTTTTAAAAGTAAAATACCAGCTCTTCTTGAAAAGTAAATTTATCACAGTTGGCTTGTGGGTAGGAAATAATGGTTGAAAAAATACATGAGATGAAAAAGTCCCCATAGTTACCCTAACCTCAAATTCAGGAATTCTCTTTTTAACAGAATGATGTTTCTGAAGCCTGGTTTAAGGAAAGTAGAATTATTACCCACAAAATCATTTTCTGAAAGCCCAAGTGAGAAGCATGTTCTGCTGTTGACGTCCAAGTTGACTAGTGAATGTTCTCCTGGCTGTTAGCCCATGTTTCAAGCAAGGGACATATACAAAGAATACACTGGAAGATGTTGGTGTCTCTTGAGAAAAGTTAACATTGAATAGACAATTTTTCAAACATGTGCCTGGAATTATATCCACAACCTTTTCTAAAATGGATGTGTTCACACGCATGCAGCTACGTGCCCCGTGATTTCTACAGAACAGAAAGGGTCAAACCTTGTTCCTGGACGTGTCCAAATAACATCGTGTTTGTTTCTTTTTTCTATTCTCTTTAAACAGGGAAGGCCATGGCAAAATTTCCGTATTTGCTGTCAAAATGGCTCTCGCCACCTTGTGTGGAGGGAAGATCATGGACAAATTAAGATGTAAGTTACTGTTCCTTGTCCCTCCTCCGGCCACCTTCTCTCCTCCCCGTGCTACCAGGTTTCCCTGCCCACTTGCGTCTTCCCCCATTTTGTGAGAGTTGTTTGGAATACGGGCTTCATTGATCTTTGGATTTTGTCATGAAGATGTTTTCATGTTGACTAAGTGTTAATGAAATGGACGCTTCCCTTTCTCACAATCCACTGAGGCTCGCCAGCTAAACTCAGCCTCAGACGTCCCTTGTCTTACAGGCAGCTCGTCATCCCAGGGCCATACGGGCAACCTTTCCCCTTAGATAATCCAAAACCAAAGTTCCCAGCACATTTCCTCATCCTTCTCAGCCAGTGCTATTCAAATCCCTGGGAACTCCAAACTTTCCACAGCAGACATTGCCCGGGGAAGGCACAGGATAGGAATCACGTAGCGACACTACAGAGAGAATTAACTGAATGCCAATAAAAACACCGCAGCTGAGTACTTGGAGTATAAACCTTCACGTACGTGTTGTCTCTAAATATGGTAGAACTTTGTAATCACCAGCACAGTGGGGGTGGGTTGTTTGTCTTAGGTAAAGAAGCTGAGGCTCAGAGAGTTTAATTCAATCACACAGCTAAGACGACACCAGGATTTAAACCCTGAGGCTTTTTCCTGCACCAGTAGGTCTTCGATTTTTATAAGCATCAGAAACACCTGGAGGGCTTTTTGAAACATAAACTTTGGAGTCTCACCCCCAGAATTTCTGACTCTAGTAACCCTAGTCTGGGAGGGACCAAGGATATTTATCTTTGACTAGTTTAAAATGTTGATGCTGCTGTTTAAAAGAAAAATGTAAAACCCTGTCACTCCCCCTAAATCCTGAGTCTGGGTTATGATGCTGTATCAGGGAGGGCCTCCTCCGGGGAATTGGGGGTCCCAGAGCATGAGCCCCGCTGTGTGGTTAATGGGCTGAGTCAGCCTGTGGACCCTCAGCTTTCCTCTGAATCCTAAATTTAGGGATTGTAGCTACCCGTAGAGATGGCTGCTTCCCTAGCGGCTACCATCCGTGACCCGCAGGCAGAATACTCACCTGCTCGCCGTCAGCTTCTGAGTGAGATTTCTTGCTTCTCAGTTCACTGAGAGGAAAAGGATGACGGGAGATACAGAAAAAACCCTTTATTCCTTTGAAATTTCCCCAGACTTACTCCATGGGAGAGTTATTTTGTTGGACCAAAGCCTCAGGTAACGGGCAGCTTCCTTCACTTCCAGAAACTTCCTTCCATGGAAGAGCCCTGTGCAGCCAGGATTCACAGATGCCCAACCAGACCTTGGGAGGGTCAGTATAGTTCTTTGTCATTAGCCTGAAAGATATGGAAAGTAAAAAGCTGTCTACCTCAGTGTTGGATTGAAAGATAATAGGCAAATTAGATGATGCTGGAACCAGTGGCATTTAAAACAAAACATAGCTTCACAGGAGTTCAAGACCAACGCAACACAATGAGACCCTTTCTCTACAAAAATGTCAGAAAATTTACTCGGGCTTGCTGGTGTGTGCCTGCAGTCCCAGCTACTCTGGAGGCGGAGGCAGGAGGATCACTTGAGTCCAGGAGTTTGAGGCTGTAGTGTGGTGTTTTTTAACCTCTCTTATCTCTCGGCACACTTGAACCTGGTTAAACCTCCACAGCACACTTAAATGATGTTGATCAGAAAAAAGAGTAAACAAAAATATATATATATACTCACTGTGCTTTCAACTTCTTCTGAAAAGAATTTAATGGGCTCAGCAGCTAGGGTGCCAGCCAGATACACCAGATCTGGTAGGTTCAAACCTGGCCCAGGCCTGCCAAACAAGGACAACTGCAACAAAAGAATAGCC